GTGAATGCTCCAACACTGGAAGTTTTTAAGAAGAGACTGGACAGCCATTTGTCTGAAATGGTATAGGGTTTCCTGCCTGAGCAGGGGGTTGGACTAGATGACCTCCAAGGTCCCTTCCAACTTTATTATTATTATTATTATTATTATTATTATTATTATTATTATTATTATTATTATTATTATTATTATTATTATTACTCCATTGGTCCAAGAATTACAGCTGGTGGGGTCCAGGAGGAGAGCCTTTTGTGCTGTGGCCCCCACTCTATGGAACATTATGCCCCTCAAGATGAGATCCACTTGTCCTTCTGAAAGGGCCCCAAAACCAGGTTCTGCCAATTGGCTTGGGAGCCTTCCACCCTGAAGGTGGTTGGTAGAATAAGATGAAGATCTCACTTCCACCCTATTTTTGTTTGGGTTCCTGGTTTTTGTTAACTTTTAATATTTTTAATGTTTTATATTCTTGTTTTATGATATTGTAAGCCTCTCAAAATCACTTGACCATGAGATGGGTGGCATATAAATTTAATAAATAAATAAAAGTAGGGTAGACCTGAGAGACACAGCTTGCATTGATGAGTTGCCTTTGGTGGTTTTCATTCCAATACTTCCACAAATATTACAGCAATTTCAGATCTGAAGCGAGATGTACAATTTAACATCCTTTCTTAGAGTAGAAACTTCTGAACTACAATAAGGCCTCAAAGTGATGGAATTTTATTATAGTTAAGGTTGGCTATACAAAGATAATCATTCGGATAATGTGATCGATTTGTTCTTGGTGTGTTTTTCCCCTCCCAGAATTGATTACCTTTGCTTATTTAGATTCTTGGTTTACTGTTTTAGGTGATGTATCAGGTAGAAGGATTTGTTGACAAGAATAATGACCTGCTTTACCGTGATCTGTCCCAAGCTATGTGGAAGGCCAACCACTCCCTCATTAAAGCACTATTTCCAGAAGGAAACCCTGTCAAGATTAATTTAAAGAGGCCACCAACAGCAGGTTCCCAATTCAAAGCTTCTGTGGCAACATTGATGAGGAATTTGCAAACCAAAAATCCCAATTATATCAGGTAAAGTTCAGGAAATGAAGTAAATTGTGCTTGCAACAATGGTAATCTTTAATTCATACTCCAAAGGACAGCATGAAAGAGAGTGATTTATTTATATCAGCTGAATATAATTTAGTTGGAAAAGAAGTATTTTTTTTAATTAATTGACTTTTATATGTCCCAGTTTTAAATTACAAAAAGACTTTTGTGAATGTTCATAGTATCTCAACTGAGTGGATATGATTGTGCTTTATCTGATCTTTTTTTCCCCAAAGATGAAGGGGAGAATCTCACCATAGAGTAATGGTTCTTATTGCTCTATATTTATAAAATTACTGCAACCATAATTGATAGTTTGCTATAATCAGATTTTTTTGTTGTGCTGTAATTGTTACTTCTTTTTGTGCTGAAGGTTTTACTTTATGGTCATCTGGGGCATCAGTATTTTACTATGGAATTGTTTTCATGGTAGTTCTAATTCAGCTAATAAGACAGTAGGACTTATCCATTTAAAAATCTGACATTTATTAACACTGACTCAAACTAAATAGAACAACCATGGATTCTTTTGAATGTTGAACATATCTATAACATAATATATCAGATTGGGTCTCCCATCACATTGAACCATGCTTCACACATTACATTTAACCAGAAATCAGAGCTGGGCCAACCAAGAGCCATGGGTGCCTTCAGAAACACTTATATTATAGTTTCCAGAATCTCCCAGGATTGTGCAGCTGAAATTCAACAGTAACTTGCCAAGAGATTTAAGCAGGGCTTTTTTTGTCATAGAACGCCCAGAACGGAGTTCCGGCACCTTTTTTGGATGGAACCTTGTAGGGTAGACAAGGCGGTTTTATGACGTGTGTGAGTTCCAGCACCTTTTTTTTTTTTAGAAAAAAAGCACTGGATTTAAGTACAACTTTTTTTAAAAAAAAAAAGTTAGCCCTGCCCACACAGGAGTGTCATGTCCTTAACCTATTCCTGTCTCTAAGGTTGCTGAAAACTCTATTATCACAGAAGTGTAGCCTGGCCAAAGAAAAATTGCCTTTGTGAGACATAAAATCTTTTGTGTGGTGTTGCTGCTGTGTCTTAAATGTGACATATATATATATTTCCAAGGGCTAGGAGTGAAATCAGAAGTGACTAATAAGGTTTTCCAAGAACTTTATGTTTTCATTTGAGAATTCTCTTCTTCCAATTCTTACTTAATATGACATTTTTCTAACTGCCCATGTGCTCAGAATGTGGCTGTCTGTAGATTTTAATTTCTTCAGATTAAGCAATTTTATTAGAGGATTACACTTTCTAGGTGATGAAGAGGAAGTAGAGCACATACATTTTTCATCCCCCTCCCCTTGTCAGAGAATGCTCCCCGCATCAAGGGGCAAACTCTACTTCTAAGCTAAAATAGATGAATAAACTGTAAATAATGTTTCTTTGATTGTAAAACAGTTTTACATACAACAGTTTCAGATAACTTTTATCCAGTCTCCGTCCTTCCATTTCTGGGGAAGGTTATTGAAAGGTGGTTGGCATTGAGCTGCAGAGAGCCCTGGACGAAACAGATCATCTGAACCCTTTTCAGTCAGGATTCAGGCTGGGGTTCAGTACCAAGGTGGCATTGGTTCTCTTGTGAGTGAACTCTGAAGAATTCAGGAAGGCCTGTCCCTCCTGGATCTCTCAGCAGCTTTTGATACCATCAGTCATGGTCAGGTTCAGGAGCTGGGAGTGGGAGGCACTGTTTTATGGTGGCTTTCCCCTTTTTCTGTGGTCAGTTTCAGTTGGGAGGGGAGATGATAGTCTCTAGGCCCCTGCAGTGTGGGATCCCTCAGGGTTCAGGTCTCTCTCCTCTCCTCTTTAACATTTACATGAAACTGCTGGGTGAGATCATTTGCCAGTAATGTGGTGCAATATCATCAGAAGGATGATGTTACCTAGTTATACACATCTCCACCCCAGTCAGGCAAGTGATGCAATCACAATGCTGACTGGGTGCCTGGAGGCCATAGGATGGGGAGAAGTCAATTTCAACTCAACATTTTGAGTAAATTAAAAATAAAATAAAATAAACATTTCTAACAAAATTGGTGGGAGTAATAGATTTCTGTTCTATGTACTGCACTTTTTTCAGCAAACTCTTTGATTTGCAGATGTATTAAACCTAATGACCAAAAAGCAGCACACATCTTCAGTGATGCTCTTGTGTGCCATCAAGTTCGATATTTGGGTCTGCTGGAAAATGTCCGAGTCAGAAGGGCAGGATATGCATTCCGTCAAACCTATGAGCCTTGCCTAGAAAGATACAAAATGCTTTGCAAAGAGACATGGCCACAATGGAGAGGCCCCGTGAGGTAAGAATGACTAGAAAGACATGCATCCTGGTACAGACATAACATGGATTGCTTAGCTCTGGTTAAACAGTTCAGATTGAGCTACAACACTGCGTATTCCTTCTGGTGTGACAGTTCAGAAAGTATCTGAAACTATGATTTGAGTATTACTCGCTTAAAGATAGAGAAAACCATTCAATCAGGGTTATGTTCAGCAGAGAGTAGATCAGTGTGAGCAAAGAAAGCAAAATAATACATTCCAAGTTACAATCCACAACCATGGTTAAGGATCTTGCAGCCTTTTCCTTCCATTGACCTAGTGAAACCAAAGGAGTGCCTCTGTGTCACTCATTATTGATGCCTGTTTCTTGCCTATCATAGATTGTTAAATACATCTGGAGTAAAGGCAATGGCATCATTGTTTCAGGAGACAGCTTTGCATGTTGCATGCAAATTCCTAATACAAGTTAAAGGGTTATGCAAAATTGAACTTAGCTTCTCTCTTTTTTTTTTTTTTGAGGCAATCTATTTGCACTTGCGAACCGAGCGGTTCAAAAGCATGCAAAAGCAAGTAGATAAATAGGTACCACTTTGGTGGGAAGGTAACAGTGTTCCGTGCGTCTTGGCGTATAGTCATGCTGACCACATGAACACAGAAATGTTTTCGGTCAACGCTAGCTCCCTCAGTTAAGAAACGGTGGTAAGCACCGCCCCATAGAGGCGGACTGGACATTGGAAACTTTTATCTTTATTTGCACATGGGTGTGGAAAGTGGCAAGAAGGACATGTAAAAAATGCTCTAAGACAATTATGTTTTCATTTTTATATTACATTTTTTTAATATTTGGGGAGGGTTTTCCTCACCTTTCCTAATGTTTTGTGTAATTGTTGGTATCCTTTCAGTGTTAATTGTACTTTATAACTATATTCGATGGTACCTTATATATATTAGCCTGCTCTAAAATACATATTTCAATAGAATATAAACAGATATTTTGAATAAATATGGTAGCATTTAGTCTACCTTTGTTAACCACACGGTTGGATCTGGTTAGTGCTTGGGCGAGAGACTAGCTGGGAAATTAAAAAAAAAATCCTGGACTGCCAAGAAAACCATATGTCTAAAAAATCTAACTCTCAGTCATTATCACCAGAATGTCTATTCAGTGGCTACCATTTTCATAGTTGGACAGTTTTCTAAAACCCTGAGATGTAAACATTTTTGGCTAATTTTTAAAAAGTGTTTATATAGCAAAGCTATCTTTTCATAAAGTGCTGGATAATACTGTCTTTTCCCAAAAGTAAAACCTACCCCGAAAATAAGCCTAGCTTGATTTTTGGGAGTGGGCCTAATATAAGCCATACCCCAAAAATAAGCTCTAAAAATCAAGCTAGGGCGAGGGTTGGGGTGTTGAGCTACTCATGCGCCCCGCACCCACTTACTGTATTTTTCCAACTATAAGATACACCCTTGTATAAGACGCTCTGGCAGGCGAGTTTCTGTGCACCGATCAGCTGTTCGGCGCTGACGATCTTGCCCCCTCTCCCCTCCTGTTAGTGGCAAGCCCACAGGGGCTTGACACCTGCACCAGGCGGCATGGCAACCCACACAGGCATGCCCTGGGCTGCGGAGGTTACCATTATTTTTCCATGTATAAGACACTGCACTTGTATAAGACGCACCTGATTTTTGAACAGGGTGTTTGGAGGAATAAAATAACGTCTTATACACGGAAAAATACATACCTTGCAGCCATGCCTCTCCTTGCCAGCCCACTTCTTCTGCGGCATCCCCAGGCCTGCATTTTGCAGTCAGGCCTTTCAAGAAGGCCTCTGCAGCCGATAACCGAGCTATGGATTCAATCCATAGCTCAGTTCTGCAAGGCCTCTTCAGCCGAAAACTGCAGAGGCCTTGCAGAAAGGCCTTTGACTGCAAAAATGCAGGCTGGAGCTCCATTCTCAGCTGCAGAATGAAGCTGCTCCTTTGGCTGCAGAAGAAGTGGGCCGGCTGGGCGGGGCTGTCGCCGGAAAAGACACTCCCCCCCCAAGTTTAACATATGAAAGAAAGACTTTTTCACAAAGATGTTTTGTATTTTTGTTTGTTTGCCTTTTAGAATCGGTGTAGAGGTCCTTTTTAATAAGCTGGAAGTCCCTGAAGAAGAATACTCTTTGGGTAGATCAAAAATATTCATCCGCAATCCAAGAACCGTACGTGAAGTAATATTCCTCACTTTACACAAATTATTTGAATACAGGTCATCCTCTATTTTATTTCAATTAGGATGCTAGAATTTTAATTTGATTGAAGCAATGAAGGGCAAAATTAATTAGCTTGGGAGGGGGAACCAAGATGGTGGTTAATGAAACAGCATTATTTTTATCGTTGTAGCATAAAAATATATGCTTTAATGTTCCTCAAAACTTTATGAACTCCAGACAAGAATAAAGAGATGTATGGACAGATACATAGACATTGCTTATGTCTGTTTGTCTCTGTCTCTCCCCCCCCACACACACACAAAGAGGGTGATAATAATCTTACCAGTTTGGACTGCAGATGGAGACAATCATTTTAATATTTTCTGCAGACTCCTTGAAAACTATATCAGATAAAAACTAGCACATCGGAAAGTGAATTGAATCCTAGTTTGTTCTATAAGGATAATCATCTGTAATAATAATAATAAAAATTAAATGTGATTCCCTCCATCTAAAGGCTGAAATTGTGACATTCTCTTTGCTTCTTCCATAAACCAGGTCTAAAATAGATCAGACTAAAAAAAAATGCATAAATTCTAAAAGTCAATTGTTGAGTTTCATAATTGAACCAAAGAAATTAGTACATCAAGACTTGGTATACTAGACAACACACCAATCTAAATTTCTTTAGAGAACAAGGTACTTTTATTGTAAATACGTATTGATTTTTATTTTTATGTTCCTTTTTTCTTTCCCCAAATCTGCACAGCTTTTCAAATTAGAAGACCTAAGAAAACAACGTCTTGAGGATTTGGCTACCTTAATCCAAAAAATTTACAGGGGCTGGAAGTGCCGCACGTATTTCCTTCTCATGAAAAAAAGTCAGATTGTGATTTCCGCCTGGTATAGAAAATATGCGGTAAGATGGGATTTTATTTGTTGGGTTCTGTTTCTGTCCCTTCAGGATGACAGTAATTTAAAAAAGAAATGTTAACATCATGTCCAATGAATTAAAAAAGTAATGGAAAGTTAAAATGCACATTAGTTTGGATACTCTGATTTGGATTTTGATAGATTAAGGCATTGTTATAATTTAATAATGATCAGGCAGTTGCTTAAGTAATAGCTCACTGTAGATTTTTCTCTTGGTTATAAATAACACTTTGATTTTAATTTGAAAAGTAAACAAGTTTATTGGTTATGTCTTATTGCTAGGAAGTATGTTTGGGAAACAGCAGCTTTTAAGCTTATAAATAGAAAGGTTGAAATAATGGGGGGAAATCAGTGTTCTCTCACTGCAGCTACAACAAAACCATTGTTAATTAAAACATGGATTACATGCCTCTTATTTAGTTATTAATCATGCTAATTATTGACCATAATTTAATTATTTGCACTTGATTCATGGTCATGGTCAAAGTGGTATAGGGCTATTTTTGCAGAGGTATGCTTCTAGAAGCAACTATATTTAGAAGCAGGCATTCTCAAGGATAGTCCCATAAAATATACATCACAATAAAACCATTGAAGGGATTGTGTGTTGCAGTGTACTCTGTAGACTTTCTTAGATAGCATAGAAACTGAATGAAAATGTGTGCAGTTTATTTAATAACACAGTATTTTAAAACTCAACACGTTTCTATATGCACATACTTTATTTATTTTTTAATACAGCAACAAAAGAAGTACCAGCAGATCAAGCGCTCTGCCATCATTGTACAGTCTTACATCAGAGGATGGAAAGTGAGTTTAGAGAATGGCTTCAGTAGACTTTCTTTTCTTCCACTGTATGAGTTCAATATAGGATTTTGAGTGAGGTACCCCAGTGTCAAGGAGTCACCATGCATGGGCTGATGTAGCTCTGAGCTGTATTTCTTACCATAGTGCATTCTTCAAATTAATGCCAGAGAAATCTGGTGTAAAAAATCTGGATTATTTTTTTTTGTAGCATGAACATTTGCTTAAAAGAAAAATTTAAATTTAGTGTGTTAAGCTCAGCTAGAACTGTGTTTTAAAATGTTTACTAGCCACCCCCAAAACTTGCCAAAACATTTTTATTTGCTCCTAAATGAATGTGTCAGGCCCAAAACCAAGAACGAAACATGGCGAATCTTCCAAGCTGAATTCATTGTTTCACATCTATAAACAAAATCTTGCCAGACTGAGGATTCTACTATCTGCATTTACAATATACTCTGTGAATTATTAGGGAGGGACTGTCTTCACCCTCTTTCTCTCATACATAATATCTGGCTGAGTTGCTTCTTCCTCTTCTGGAATACACCGCTACTTTCTGGGGATCCACCTCCTTACTACATTCCATGATTGCCATGGCTATTTGGTCTTTAAAAGAGAAAAAGTACATCTCCTGGCTACAAAAAGATTTCTATGGAGATTCTCAGTCATCCAGGTCATGGTAGTCCCAGAAGTGCTTTTTCAAAAGGCAGTTGGACTTTCTTGTTTTTCCCATCACTTTAGAAACCTAAAATTATGTTACTGGAGAGCATGGGGCATAATATCAACCAGTTATATTTTATCAGAAACCGAAACATTTATTTTTCTGTAAGATACTCTGCCACTACCTCCCCTATCCTGAGCTAAATAAATAAATAAATAAGAATACCAATTTGGTCTAAAGTGCTAGACTAGGAACAGAAAAATCTGGATTGTAGTCCTTCCTCAGACACAGAAACCAAATAGGTAACTTTGGGCAAGTCCCTTTGTGTCACCCTAGGAAGATGACATGGACAATCCACCTGTAGAAATGGTGCCAAGAAAACTCTAGGAACATGTTCAGGCAGTTGCCAGGAGTCAAGCCTGACTTGAAGGCAGCATCCCTCACCTCCCAAAAGTAATTAATACTGCCATTAGACACATTGTCCTCTTAGTACATTTCCATTGTCAGTTCAGCTTCTTGGATCAAATGGTTGATTTGCAAATAGGCAACCAGTGGCAAGGTTGTAGAAATGCAACTAGGCCATGTCAATTTTAATTCTTGCCTCAGTGGTTAAATAACTGTCACAGCCCATCCAGCTTTTTGTGCCAAAAGAATCTAAGTGCAAAACTAATCAAATAAAAAGGAATGTGGTTGGAATTATGCTTAAAATAACCTGCTCCCCCCCCTTTTTCCCATTTTCATTTAAAATCTTGGTATAATCTGCGTTGCTTGCATCTACTTATTGTTTTTAAAACATGAGTGGTTGTGGTTTAAAATTCCATGTCAGCAGCAGAATTCAATGAGTCTGGAAAAGCTAGTTTAGGCACCAGTCCTACTCAAGTACCAGTAATATCTCATAGGCAACAAAAGCTATCTCCTCCCCCCATACCCAGCTCTAGTTTTACAAATTTTGAAAGTTTGTAATATTTTTAACCTTGCATGCTGGGGCACTAAGCAGAATTGCAGAGAGTCAGAGGCTTTAATTAAAATAGCGAGGAAGCCTTTATAACCCTTTAGAGCAGACATGTCAAACTCATGACGTCGCGCAACGTATCGGGACGGTTTTGCCATTGCTGGCAATGGGGTGGGTCCGGCTTCCGTGTGATGCATCCGGCCCGTGGGCCGGCAGTTTGACACCCCTGCTTTAGAGAGATGGGGTAAACATGTGAACACTTCCTCACTCCAGATTTTTTGTGCAACTGGGTTTTTCAATGCTAACTTGAGGGCATGGGGTTTTGCTTCACAGGCTCGAAAGCTGCTTCATGAACTGAAGCACCAGAAACGCTGTGAAGAAGCTGTTACAACCATTGCAGCCTATTGGCACGGAGCTCAGGTAAGAAAAAGCTGACAGGTCTTTGTTTCCCAGTCACCTCATGGTACAAAAGTTGTCTAGATAGACCGTAGAAATGTTTTTCCAGCTGCTTAATTTATCAAAATTTGGATCTGACCTCTTTTGCGGCTGTACTTTGAAACAAATTTCAGTCTAGCTGGTAAAGGTTCTACGTTGATTCAGTATGAAATCTTTTCGTCTTTCTCTTTCACTTCCTCGTTCCATCGGGAAATTGAAGCAAGCCTTTTCTCTCTCAGAATGTTCTGTAATTCATTTTCAAATACATCACAGGCCCGAAGGGAACTGAGGCGGCTGAAGGAGGAGGCTAGGAATAAACTTGCTAT